CTTGTCCTCATCCCTGGTCACTATATATTATCTGCCATGTGATGAAAAGTAATTTAATACAATTTAAATGTTCTGACAACATATGCACATATAGGAAAAAACCTCTTACCAACTCTGTCTGGAAGGACTTCAAGTGCTGAAACTCTTTCATCTTTGTGTAGTTCTAGTCCATACACACAATCAAGTCAAATCCATCATACTTTATAAGATAGAGAGAGGGATTTACAGGAACTTGATCAAGAACTGTGCCCTTCCACTGTGTTACAGGTCCACTCCCTTCTTTCCAGCCATGCTGTATTCTGCAGCCTACAATGTTTCTTCGTGGCTGAGAAATAGGTTTGCTCGGTCCAACATTGTTTCTATGCTTTCTGTACAGATACAAACATAACATTAAACAAGTACTTACTCAAAATTCTACTCCAGACAAGAGCTGTATACTTTAAGGCAGCAATATATTACTATATATTAATAAAGATATATTAAATTCTAACACGTAAAGCTTAGTGCACCTTATATTACACTGTACTGGAAAAAGAAAAAAGAAATCACAATGAAAAGTGGTGGAACACTCTCAACATTTTGTATAAGGTTGCTTTCATAACAGTAGTTTCTAAAACTAGTTTGCTTAAGCCAAAAGAACTATTTTAGCCATTGCTACACTGAACATCAAAAGTAAAACTTGCTTGTTCAAATCCTAAATCAGGTCTCAAAGAGCAGTTACCTAACAGTATTGTACTTCTGTTGCTTTCTTCCTCTGCAGAACAGTAAACATAATTACATTACCCCAGGACTCCGTTCCATTACCTCTGCACTTAACATCTTTGACTACAATTGTTTTTAAAGACACATGGTAGCAACAATATTCTTCTAACATTCCTTTTAAGTACAACACAAGAAAGATTATATGCAAAGGTCACAGCAATAAAAGAGATACTCTTTAAAGCAGATAATAAATTAAATATACTTTTTACCCTCACTCAGTTTCTTAATCCAGCTTTCATGGAAAGATTCCTTCTGGTGAATATCAGTTGCTCTGGTAAACTGTCATGTAAGCTATTTGACAGTTTCAACCGAGTGTGTTACACAAGTTTTATTCTACTCAAACAAAAAAAACCCCAAAACCCAATAATTGACAGTTGTCAGTACAAGTGAAGAAACATATGAATGTTACAACAGTACACTGGTGATAAATGTATATTATAATCTTTATTTTAGCATGTTACAATATGCATATTCATTCCTAAAATATTTAGAGGATTGCCTGATTAAAATTCTCATGCACGATAGCTAATTTAAAAAAAAATTCTGGATTAGTTACCAGTTACAGTACATTTCAACTAAATGGAAATAACATATACACATCAATATCATGATTAAAAGCAACATATAAAAAAAGAAAAAAATCAGTTGCAGAAAACAATATCCATCCTTAGATTAGTGACAGTGACCAAAGAGAAATGTCTCCAGGAACAATGAAAGATCACAGAGCAGCCCATGCATGACAGAGATCCAGAAGACACAAATAGCAATCATATCAAAAATGTCTTATAATTAGTCTTAAAGAATGATAAAAACAGTATATAAAATTAGTAATGCTGAAGATGTAACCATAACTCTATTAAAAACAAGATGTACAATGCCTTCAGCTCCAGGCTTTCATTTTTCATTAAAATCTTAGAAGAGTTCCACAGTATCTTTTGCCAAATTTAACTTTTGTGATGATTTAACCTTATCAAGGAGGTCAGTCTGCATTCATAATCTGTGTTGTCATTAGGAGTATTATAGAAATGCTAAAATTCTTCCAGTTAAGAGGCACTCCACTGCAAAGTTGGTTCTAATTTTCCAACAGAAACTCGAACACATGTTCAAATACTAGTTCTTGCTGAAGTCTTACTTTTTTTTGTAATTATAATAGTCTCAGTAATATTTTATTATGAAGAAATGAGATGAGAGATCTGGTTCTGGGGAACAATGAAAATGAGTTTGTTTTACATGCAATTAGTTTATTGAGTTTTAATTAATCTTAATTCCATTTTAAGGGATCCTCACAGAATAAAGTGAAATGCTACTGAAGCTAAAAAGTTAAAGCTGAAAAAGGTAAAATAATAATGTTCATCTTTAATCACACAGTCAACTTGACTTTCTGCCTATAAAGCATAATCATAGCATTTAAATTTGAACAATTAAGTGAAAAGCTTCAGTCATTTAAAAAAAAATATGATGGAAAAGGACTATATAATTAAGTTCAAATTGATAGCTACCTTTTAAAACAACTTGGAGAGAGTAAAAAGTATTATAAATGCAGTTACAAATCAAGCAGGAGCTAGGTATATTTGCAGTTCAAGTTTTTCTTTGCCTGAAGGATGTACTACTGGACAGCCACTCAGTCTAATTTGTAGTGGTTCATACATCAAGAATTATAATTTTCAAGCACATATATTTCCAAAGAAAAATATTTCTGCTTGCATGTGAACATGTAATAAGAAAGAAAACATACGTTTCTAACTGACCACAAATAACAAAATCGTAGAATGATCAGCCTTTAAAGATCATCTAGTATTCCAACTCATACAGATCACATAGAACTATTCCAACTCATATAGATCATCTATATTCCAACCCCCCTGCCATGGGCAGGGACACCTTCCACTAGATGAGGTTGCTCAAAGCCCCGTCCAACCTGACTCTCTGGGCAACCTATTCCAATGTCTCAGCACCCTCATCATAAAGTATTTCTTCATGATGTCCAATCTAAA